GGTGTAATGATTTATAAAGTTGTCACTATTGTGGATTAAGACAAGGTTTTGTCTAAATTTTTTTTTTGGAATGAAGGCAAGGGTTAATTACTAATTGGGCTATAAGCTCGGTGTAATAACCGTAATTAATAAGAACATTATTAATTGGTCTTGCCTGGTTGGGTCTTCGTGTTTATGGCACGGTAGACATGGTCATGGTAATTTTGAATCTATACGTAGATTAGTTATCATGGACCACATTCCAAATTTAATGATAAGCACAAATATGATATTTGTGATGTGGCAAAACCACCGAGAAGTGAAGCGCACATCTCGGGTCTGAGAAGTGCTAGAAGCACCTCTAGGCCATGTGATCGAGAAGTAAACGTATCTTCTGGTCATAGGCGAGTAATCGAGAAGTGGAGGTACATAACCTTCGGGTGACATCTTGGATGTACTTCTCGGAGTATCAACGATAGCACTCGATAGTGCTAAGTGAATTTTGCTTGAGAGCAAAAATGATGTCGTTGATAAATCTATTCTTTATAAGAATAAAGTGAAAAACCAACTTAATCGTGGAATTAAGGCGGTTAGAAACGATCGATGTAGTGAATATGAAACACCCATTGGTGATTCTGCGCAAGCGTTGGTATCGTACTCGAGCGTACGACACAGTATTCACCTCAATCGAACGTTGTTGCCGAACATAAATATCAAGACGTTGATAAGTTCGGATCTACCTCAAAGTGTGTGGGGTGAGACAAGACTTTGGACAAGTAAGTACCTTTTAAATAAGGTTACCCGCATGAAACTCGATAAGGCTTCTTATGGGTTATGGGTACGTAGAAAGCTTTCCTACCAATACCTGAAATGTGGGGGTGTCTTGCGAAAGGCCTTTGTTTTTTTTTTTTTTTTTTTTTTGTTCTTAGTACACGAGTCCTATGTTCTGGACGTACATAAGAACACGATAAATTGAATCAAGAAATTCATCACTCTTTGAGAATGTATTTCTGCGAAGGTTCAATGAATGAACCTGGCATGTTGAAATGAACATTCGACGTAGCTGTGGTTGGAGGGTATGAAAGAGAACCCGAGCTCGAAGCTAGACGTAGCAAGAGAGCTAGGATTGAAAAATCCTTTGGTCCATATTTTCTGACGTACATGTTAGAATGTGATGCGCATATTCTAACTTGTTTACTAGAAAATGAACCAGATTTTCTGACATGGTTGTTAGAAAATGAGCCTCGGACATATGTAGAAGTGGTGACTTCTACAGATGGACCAATACGAGAGAGGCTACCGAGGTGAAGTAGATTCTATCTTAAAGAATCATACTTGAAACTGGTTGTTCTTCCTCCGGGTTGTAAAACCTCTGGATCTTAATGGATCACGTGTCGGAAGATAAAAACCAGTTGGTTATATTGAAGTAAATGGCCAGGCGTGTAATGGTAGATTACATGCAACGCGAGAGCCACAGTTACTTCGATATATATTCTCTTGTGATGAGAATGAAATCCATTAGAATGATACTTGCCATAGCTGCTTAGCGAGACTTGGAAGTTCATCAAATGGATGTGGAAAATCACTTTCTTAATAGACATGGAACGACCTGAGGGTTTTGTGGTTCCGCGCTATAGAAAGAAAGTGTGTGATTGGTGAAATCATTGTATGGTTTGAAACAATTGCCTAAGCATTGGCACGTGAAGTTTGATCATGCAATGATAACCAATGAGTTTAGTATAAACAAAAGTGAAAAGTGTGTCTACGTAATGGATACGATAGACGGTGATATCATTATTTGTTTATACACGATAAACTCATCGTGGGTAGTAACGATCAAAGGATCAATTCTACCAGGAACATGTTAAATTTGAGATTTGACATGAGAGGTATGGGTTTGGCAGATTTAATCCTTGGGATTAAAATCGTGAGAAGACCTGATGGTCTCGTGGTAAGCCAATCTCATTGTCTTGATTGAATCCTTGCAAAGGATGATAATCAAGTGGCTTGGACACCGTTAGATACTAACGTACAACTAGCCAATAATCACGGAAATTGTATTTCTCATAGAGAATAAATTCAGATTATTGGTAGTTTAATTGTATCAAATGGGTGGTACTACGCCGGATATTGCCTTGCGGTTAACAAACTCGGTAGACATACGAGTAACCCTAGTGATACGCACTAGAAGGCAATGGTGGAAGTTATGAGATACTTAAGGTATGCTCGTGACTTTGGACTGCACTATGTGGGATATCTAGCTGTATTTGGAAAATATAGCACGTTAAAAAGATATCAAAGGACGCTAAGTCCATTGAAGGCTACGTGTTTACGTAGGCCAGTGCAGTTGGTTGTAAGGAAATTCTCGAAACGATTTGTGATAGCTAAGATCCATGATGGGATCAAAGCTGAGAGCCTTACACTCATGTCGCGAGCGAGTAGGCTGAATGGCTATGCCATTTTTCAGGAATGTTCCTAGAGATAAACTCGTACCTCCAATTTGTGTGCGTTGCGGTAGTCAAGCCAAAATTGGTTAAGTACAGAGTTAGATGTGGAATGGTAAGTCTAGACTTATAAGTCGTAGATATAATACCATTAAACAATTTCTCACAACATGGGTTATCTCTATTGACTACGTGATGTCAAAAGATAACGTAGCGGCCGCTAACTCGCTAACCCGAGGGTAAGCAAATGGTTATTGAGAAATTGGCACGAGGAATGGGTTTGAAGCCCATGGAATAAAAGTTCTATAGTGGACACCCAACCTAGCTGGCACCTAGGTTCAATGGGACAACTAAATTATGGAACGAAGCGTGTCACTGTGGGGGTCTCGGACTCCCTACCATTCCTCGTTAGAACAGTGACTCCCGCACGAGGCTAGCATGTTGATGCTTTAATGATTCGAATGTCGGTTGACATGTGTGAGTATGCGGGATACTCGATAAAGAATCACCTATGTTAGAGAGAAGTGGGGTCGTTTCAAAGGAGAATTGATGGGCTCAATTCATTAGAAACTCTCGCAGAACCAGGAAGGTGACCCATGACCAAAACGGGCACACCCATGAGAACAGAACAAAGGTTGGAAGGTTCCTGTGTGGGATATGTCATCGCCTACACAAACGGCAGTTGGTTCAAAGACATCAAGTTCTACCATACAGCCAGTAGAGTAAACATATCTTCACAAGGCAAGGTTCAAAGGGTAACACCTACCTATGCTATGCAGGGATCGACCGTTGAACACGTTCGTGTCGTTTTTCCTCGTCCCGGAAATCATTTTTCATTCATGTGGGGGATTGTTGAAATTTTTAGCTAAAAATGGAATTTTGAGTGATTATTTTGTGGTACAAATATATGTGGGTCCACTTCCGATTTGGGTCGGGTCAAAGTGGATTCGGGTTCTTCGTAGTGAGACGAAGAATTTGATATTATGTACGCTCAAAATGAGTAATAGGTGAATGAGAAATTGATTCTCAAAGTGGACCTATTGGAGAGAAGTCAAAAACTTAAGTTTAAATGCTAATTAGAAATCAGCATTTTAATAACTTTCGTTGCACTGCACGAAAATTGTAGAGCTTAAGTGTAATTAAGCTTTGGTTGCTTAATTAGTGAATTGGGTTTTTAGCACCTTTCGTGCTATGCTTTCATGCTGGACGAAAGTGCATGCAAAATTGAAAGCTTAATTATAAGCTTTAGTTTCATGCTGAAAGTTGGAGTTGTGAGCTCCTTTCGTGCTCTCCTTTCGTGAGCTACTTTCGTGCTGAGCACGAGTCAATGCTATATGCATTGATTCGTGCTGCACCGTTTCGGTGCGTGTGGACCACTCGGGTGTGGTTTTCAGTCCCAATTTGTTAAACCTTCGGGTTTGTACGGACTTCTCGGTCACTCAGATGTTTTGAATCGGGTCGTTGTGGTCGGTACGAATTAATCGCGTATTAAGTTCGTGACCGTTGGAATTATTACGATAATAATTACGACCGTTTCAAACGCTATTATCCAATTATTAAATCTTGGATTTATGATTGGATTAATGGCCATTATAATGTTTTAATTCCTTTTCCCTTACAAATAGTTGTGGATGTTGGCAGAATGAATTTTACTCCATTTTGAAACTCTCAAAACTTTTGTTTATTTTCTCTCAAACTCTCCTGCTCGATTACAAAGGAAAAAAAAGAAATTCTGCCATCACCTTCCGTAAAACATCGGAGTGCTCAGCTTGTGTTCTAGTTCGCCGGGCTTTGGGTTGGAGTGCTCGAACGCCAAAGTCGTAGTCCGTTTTATCCTGGGAGACTGACGCCACAACGATCCTAGCACCCTCGGGAGGTGGCGAATCGGTTTTAAGGAGAGTGTGTGTACACACGACTCGGGCTTCCTCTGCTTCATCTTTCTTCTCGTTGGGTTAAAACCACAGGTTAGAAACCCGTTCTTGCTTTTATTTTGTTCTTGGTTTCGGACCAAGTGGTGGGATTAATCTCAGATAGATTAAATCCTTGTACTAGTTTTGTACTAGTTGTGGTGGGATTAATTTCGTGGAAATTAAGTCCCGTGTACTAGTTTCGTACTAGTTGTAGTGGGATTATTTTGATAAAATAAATCCCTAGTTGGTTAATATATATACGAGGTATATATATATATGTAATTTTGGTTTCGTACCAAAATTGTTTGGAATTAATTTTCTATAAATTAAATTCCATTTTTCGGGACAATTATATATTTTATATATATATATATATATTCTGTGTATCGATTTATTCATCAATATCCAACACAAAGAACCTGAAATTTCAATAACTGACACCGTGAATTTCTATAAAAATCATTTTTCACATATTTTCCTCTATAATTGTACATGTACCACAATTAAAAAGTTAAAATGTAAAACCACGTGTAAGCTGGTAACTTTTGTAGAAGAAGTAAACTAATCCGTATTAATAAAATTTAGGATTTAGGTGCGAAGGCGCTGTCACTATATGTTTTCGTTAGTATAAAAGAACTGCAACCTAGCAGCGAGCAAAAATGTGCCTTTTCTTCTTCTGACCGGTAAATTAAATTTGACGAAAATGTTATTGGCAAATCTTTTGCGACGAAGCTGCAGTTCTCTTCCTTTGCTTCTAGGAACTGTCGTTGTTTTATGGTTTTGCTCTTCACATGATGTTGAAGCAACAGGCTCTAAGGTGGAGTATCTCCCAGGGATTCGACATGAAGGGCCTCTTCCATTTGAACTTGAAACCGGGTACATCTCTGATCTTATCACATTGAAGGAGTTTTAAGATCCTATTCTTTGATTTTTCAAGATTGAAGGTGTGGATGTGGCTATGTTTTCAATTATCCGCGAATAGACTGTCAAGCATTTCTAAATGCACACAATCTTAACTATAAAAAATTACAAAAATGCCATTGCATTTTTTATTATTGTACATTAATTTTTAACCTTTTATCATCCATCATGGATATATCAGATTTGTCCACAGTTCTTGCCTTGGTTATTCTCATTTGATATCTCAATTATTTATATATTTATATATATATATATATATATATATATATATATATATATATATATATAATGAATTTAATGTACTTTTGGTGTTTGTAATTAGATATATCAGTGTTGGGGAATCAGAAGATATACAACTTTTTTACTATTTTGTAAAGTCTGAATCAAATCCCAATATTGATCCAATTGTGCTTTGGATCAGTGGTGGTCCCGGATGCTCTTCTTTTGTTGCAATGACAGAAGAATTGGGTGAGCTTTAAAATTGCATCTTTTTTTTTTTTAATATAGGTTTTTTACATGCACAACTTTGATCTGTTAAAAAAATACTTTTAAATTATTTTTATTAACAAATATTTTTTTATTTAATTGTTTCAACAGATTTGTTATGATTTTCTAATGCAACGTTTTGTGCTTAACAGAACTTTTAGTTTAGTCTTTATTAGATATGTAAAGTTTATCCACTAATATAAAATTAAATAATATATTGATTCAAGTATAATTATAAAAACAATGCCTATAGATTGTTTCAAGGAATAATTGACAATAATACAAATATTGTGCCAAGGAAAAAAATTCTAAATTAACTTAACCATATGCACAGGGCCATTGTTATTTGATGTACCAAAGAATAACCGGACTTTGCCTACATTGTCACTAAATCCTTATTCATGGACAAAGGTACTTTACTTTCTGCTTTTACAGAACATTATCAATAATGTCAAGGTCAATTTCAATTGGCTAATATATGAAGTGCATAAAATTATTGCTAGGTTGCAAGCTTTATCTTTATAGACTTACCCGTGGGAACAGGATTTTCGTATGCTAAAAGTTCAAAAAATTATACTGATGTAGAAACAAGTTATCATGGAGCTGAATTTATTCGCAAGGTAAACACTTTTCAGTTTTCATTGTGATAGGCACATGTGCACATATATATTGTTAAAATTGCATTAGTTAACTAATACTTGGATTATTCTATAGTGGTTAGAAGATCATTTTCAATATCAATCCAACTCATTCTATGTTGGTGGAGACTCATATTCTGGTATTACCGTTCCAATGGTTGCTCAAGCAATATCATATGGTAATAAGTCATTATGAAATATTTCATTGAAGTTTATGTGATTCGTTAAAAAAAAATAATAAAAAAAAAAATGAACCTACAGTAGTTACATAATGAACCTAAGTCATTATGTATCAAATATGAACTTGTAATATTCACTTTATGAACTTACAGTAGTTACTTAATGAACATGTGATAGCAACTTTATTAACTTACAATAATAATTACTTAATGAATAAGTTGTAGTGACTTTATTAACATATAGTACACACATGCATTATTGATTTCATGAACCAAGAATAGTGACTTATTGAACAAGTAGTATTCATTTAATAAACATACAATAGTAAATTAGTAACTTAATTCACTTGTTGTAGTGACTTTATAAATAATCTGTAGTAATGAACCAACAATAGTGACTTTGTGAAACTATATATTACTTTTTAACAATTAAAAAAAAATGCAATGTGATGTCATTTAAAAGATCGCAATTAGAGTTTTTTTAACCATACTTTTTATACAATAATTTTATTTGTATAATAAAAAATTTAATTTAGATAAGAAAAAAAAAAAAAGTTTAAGGCTAAATTGTTGGAAAAATGCTTGTTTTTTGTAATACAACAAAAATTTCATAAGAGAGTAAAAGAATAAAAACTGGATCATATGAAAAACTTTGAGTGTGTACTCACTTTCCAAGTCTTTAATCCCCTTACTAACCAACATGGAAAGTCAAATAACATGCATCATCATATTTTAAAATTTTTTTCTTCTAATTAACCAGAACACCATTCCAATCAAAATAAATTCTTACCAAACTTTAAAAAATATTTATAACACCACAACACCTCAAATATTATTTATGCTTTCATGATTGTACAATTTAAATATTAATAACCGTTATGATATAAATATCCAACATAAGGTGGGAATTATGTGATATATTTTGATTATAATAACTTGAGTATCCTTGCATAATATTTTGAGTTTCAATATGTTACAAACACTATCCATCATTACAAAATTTTTAGTGTCATGAATCTTTATTTATAATTTATATTTTTGGTTAATATAAGTTATATACTTCAATAATTGCCCACTTGTAAATTTACAGGGATTGATGCCAGATTTAAGCCACACGTTAATCTTAAGGTTGGTAAATATTTTAAGTATGAACAGGTTTCATTTACAACACATACACACATACGTATATATATAAATGTATTAAAAAGGCAAGTAAAATGTATTACAAGTGTAATAATATAATATACACCAAGCAACAATATAATATTAAGTGCACATAACGTTATCATTAGGTGCACCAATGTTGAAAAGTAAATTACTTGCATTGTCAGTGTTAAGTGAAAAATGATTGCACTTTTAAGTGATTTATGTTGCACAATTTATTTGCATATTTGAACCAATAACTTGCACTTTTAACACATGTTAACCTAAAGAATAGGAATGGCAATGTGACGGGGATGGGGATGGGGACGGGGACGGGAATATCCCTCCCCGCCCTGCCCCATCCCCGAATAATATATATACATACATACATACGTACATATATATATATATATATATATATATATATATATATATATGTGTGTGTGTGTGTGTGTGTGTGTGTGTTTGTTTGTGTGTGTGTGTGTAATATTATATTATATTATTTTTTGAATTAAATTATTAGAATTTAGAATTAAGAGATTTCAATTTGTAATCCTATTCTGTCTATCGCCCGGTGTCTCTCATCTCTAAGAGATTTCAATTCGCTTGCACTGTATTGTGCTGTAACTTATTTAATACTGTACCATTAATTTTAATAAATCTGTAGCAATTAGAACACACACACACACAATGACATTTATGTTAATAACTTGAATTTAAAGTACAAGTAACACTAAAGTGCAACTGTACATTCAATATTATAAATTGCATGTAAGCAAAGTTACGGAATGCACCTGTTGAAAATTGCGGCAAGGATCTTGAACTTTAATGTGCAACTAGTAGCGCTATAAAGTGCAATTGTCAACAATATATAGTGAATCTTTTAATAGCACTTATACATATGAAAGGTGTACTCAATTTGGTGTTGTTAGTTGCATTCTAAGATGTTATTAATTGCACTTTAAAATTTGAGTCATTTACGAAAATGCTATCATATTTTTTCCCTTTCTCTTTACTTTAAAGCCATTAGATCTTTCTAAATCTGATCCATAGCTCTGAGTAACACGTCTTGGAAGTTATATATGTTGCACTAGGGCTACATAGTTGGCAATGGATTCACAATTCCAGTTGACAACTTGTATTATATTTACCGAGCGGGTCGCGGATTAGGTCGTATTTCAGAAGAAGCGTATACGGTAATTGTTCTTTGATTGTTTTTCTTTTATGTGTTAGGTGTGTAGAAATTTTAGTATGATGCCTCCTATTATAACTAACAAGGGGCAACAAGCTAGATTTTTTTTTCAATAAGATTATACTTATTTAGAAAATTTTCACTTCTCATATTTTATACGCCTTCTATCTAATTTTATGTGTCTTGGTTAATGAGGGTTTATTAGAATTATTTACAATTCAGTATTTTATAATATTAAATTTAGTATTAGTATATAAAATTTATATATCTATAAATTACATTAAAAGTAATATTAAAAAATTTTATTTAAAAATAATAAGGAATTACCTAACCAAATAAATAAACAACGAAAAAATTGATTTGACAAATAAATAGTACGTAGGATGGTAAATTGGGATAAAAAGGAGTAAAAGACAAACTTTTTTTTTTTTTGGTATTGTAAGTTTTCCTAAATTTATATAAAAAAATATTATAATGTCAAATACTAAAAGTAGTAACGAATGTGAAATATTTTATAATAATCTTATAAAAATATAATAATTGAATTAATTTTGTTAAATTATAAAATGTATCTCATCTTTAATTGAATTACATAATCATCCATTTGAAATGGTAATCAAAATGTCATCACATTATATGATAGTTGACTACTGTTAATTATTTGATTTCTAATAGCTTAATTATATTCACGTGCAGAAATTGGAAGATTGTATAAAGATAAAATTTTCTGATCCAAATTGCAGTATAGAGGTCAGCAATCATTCTACCTATATTTTTATATTAAAAAATAGATATTCCCTGAGTTTTATTATAAAAAAAAAAAAAAATCCTTTTATCAATTTTAGTCTATTCCAATATAATCATCATTTTAATATTGAACAAATAATCAGATGCTTATTTTTGCAAAACACATATAGTGGCAAATAAATATATATATATATATATATATATATATATATATATATATATATATATATATATATATATATATATATATGCTTGTTTTGTTTTGTTTTGTTTTGTTTCTTTTTTTTTTTTGTTTTGTTTTTGTTTTTGGTCTTAATGGAGCATGCCCAATAATGTGCAGATAGGTTTAATGAATGTGGTGCCCCATTATTATTTGCCTAATGTTATTGGAGAAGAAAATGATGCTAAGAGGTTCCTTGGGTACAATGTACATGCCTTTGATCGTGGATTATTATATTCGGTAAGATCTAATTAATTTATTTATACAATTAATTTGTAACTCCATTTTTTTTTGTGAGATCGCTTTCATATGCTATAAATCTCAAATATTTAATATGTTTTACCACTTTTAACTATAACTATAATGACATTCTCTTAACATGCAACATATTAGGCTGGACAAATTGCATCTCAATGGATTAATAATGATATCGTTCAAGAGGCCTTGCATGTTCGGAAGGTAATTGTTTATTAGGATTGAATTAATGCATAATAATTTAAAATTTCAATATTTAAAAATAATATTTACATTATTAGTGGTCTTAAAATTTTAGATATAAAGGCAAAAAATAATTTTATATGTAATGTTTTTGAGAAGTCAATTCGAACATATAACCATATAAAATATATTTTCCTTATATTTAAATTTTAATGTCCAATATATTGGTTAAAATGGTTTTGCTAAAATGCATAACATTCATTTTCTATTAGTGTGGCTTAGAGAAAGTACATTAAATTTTTATAGTCTTTTATACTTCAATTTTGATTGTTTCGACATATATAGGGATGCGGTGAAAAATGGGATAAATGCAGGAGACCAATAGCGCGATATAAAAAAACTGTGAACGACAGTAGACCATATCATGCAAATCTTAGCACAAAAAGTTATAGATCTCTTATATACAGGTTTGTAAAATAATATGAGTAATTAATATTTAATAATGTTCTGAAGTGTGTTATTAATTCCTTATGAATCAAAATAATTAGTTACAAAATTTACTCTCATTTAAACATGGTAGCTCAATCAGTCACAAAGGTGAACTTTGTCACAAGAGATCAAGGATTGAGTCTAGCCTTTGTTGGTCAAAAAGATATTTGCTACAAAGTATATGTTTCAATGCTTTTCTTTTTTTTTTTTTTTCACTAATCTAAATAAACAATCGTATCTTATTTCAGTGGAAGTGCAGATGTGTATATTTCTTCATTTTATACTGAATTCTGGACAAAGTCATTGAATTATTCTATCATTGGTGATTGGCGACCTTGGTTTGTGAACAATCGAGTTGTTGGGTAATTTATAAAAGTCCACTACAGATTTATGATTTATTAATTATAATTAAGAAAAACTAATTGAAATTAAATCATTTAATTTCATGTAGTTATACAAGGACTTTCTCCAACAACATGACATATGCCAAAATCCTGGTGATAATTAACTACTAGTATATTGTTTATTAGCTCAAAATATATGAATATATGTATAACTCTAAGTTGATATTTGTTACAGGGATCAGACCACGTTGCTCCAACAATAACACCCGCCGAGTGCTTCAAAATGTTTAAGAGATGGATATCTTATGAACAACTTTAATATTGTATGGCAATGGTAAAATCTATGTTAAAAGTACTTTTCATTCAATAACACATTGTTGTACCTAAGTTTTATTTTGATGGTTTATGATGAACTTCATGTCAAAAACTACAAAATGTTTTTGTAGTAGAATATTATTTAATGAATAAATTACTATGGAGTATAATTTTGAAACTGAATTGCATTAACATTCAATTCATCACATACCTGAGGCCCCTGAGGGATTGTTATATTTCATTTTTAACTTTTTTTTTTTGGGTTTGTAACATGTGAAATAAAAAATTAAACTCCTTAATTATTTCTTAGGAGAATTTAATTGATTCGATTTAGATAATATTATACTCTTCATCCACGGTTAAAATCAAGGAATTTCCGACCACCTGAAAGTGATATTAAATTCAGTCAGAAACACTTGTTTCAACCATTTTAGGTATCAGGAAAAAACCTTCGTCGCTATTTTCGACCACCGGACAAGGTGGTCGAAAATGGCATCCAATTTTGTAAAGTGGTTCAAAAAATCAGCTACTAGAAAGATTGGTGGATTTCGGAATCTCCGATCACCGGTTGTTGGAAATTCCCAACTCAGTTAAAATAAATAAATTTAAACGGCTGAATTTTTTTTTTCGATCACCTTTACTTTGTGGCCACTATTTCGGACAACTAAGTAAAGGTGGTTGGAAATTTCAAACTATTTCCCCACCATAATCTTTCGATGAAAAATTTAAAAAAAAAATGTCACTTTTTGACCATTTTTTTAGGTGGTCATATAAGTGATTGGAAAATCAAAAATTTACAGTAGTGATCAGACATCACTCAACATACAAATACCTCAAAATGACTACTCAGATGTCAAAATTACCAAAAATTCTAATAGTTCCCGAAATAAAGTCTATAAGAGGAAGGGGGGGGGGGGAGTTATAAAGACAAAAAAATTTTAAATTAAAATAAGTGAGTTTGAATTTTGAAAATTGATTTAAGGAAATACAATTTCCTTGCAGTAGAAGTATTAAACTTGCCAAATAAATCAAATTGTAGCTAAGTTTTGTGAGTTTGCTTGAAAGTATTATAACAAATATGGGGTTATCAGAGTGATAGATAATATGAAAAGTAGAGAGAGGGGGAGAGAGAGAGGGAGAGAGAGAGAGAGAGATTTTTAATATTTTTTGGGCTTGGAATATGTGAAAATAAAAAATTAAAGTCCTTAGTTCTTAGGAGAATTTGATTCCATTTAGATCATATTATAATCTTTACCCACTGTTGGAAATCAAGAAATTTCCGACCACCTGAAAGTGATCTTAAATCTAGTCGAAAATCCTTGTTCCGACCACTTTCGGTATCCTGAAAAACCTTCATCGTTAATTTCGTCCACTTGATTGGAAAAGGTGGTCGGAAATAGCATTCAATTTTGTAAAGTGGTCAGAAAATATGGGGTATCGAAAATCGGTGTGATACCCCATATTTTCTGAGCACTATACAAGGACTGAATGTGCGTACAAAGTTCATTTTATTAAATTCTCCTATCCTTGTCCTTGTTACTTAATATTATTCTCTTTCTTGGACTCCAAGTTTGACCTATTATTATTATTATTGATTATTGATAATGATATTATATTTAGTCATATAATTTCCTAATTCTATTATATTGCTAATCCTAATATTTATATTTTCCTAATTACATATATATGTACGTAACACACCATTGCTATCTCATAATTATACATACATATAGGCCGGGGTGTGGGGGGCCCTTATGGTTGGGGTTCAACCTTTGGAAGAATTATACATACATATAAACCAAATTCAATTTTATATATATGTGTGTGAGTTGCTGTTCGAATACATATATATGTGATATATGTACGTTTGCTAATCCTAAACCCTATATATATGGTATGCTATTTATTCCTAATTCTATTTTACTCAAATTATATTATTCTTGAAAATATATATATATATATATATATATATATATATATATATATATATCACTAGTACAAATTGCAGATAGGCAACCATCGTAAAATACAATAGGCAACCATTGTACAATGGTTGCCTATGAGAGGCTCACGTTGTTAGGACTCTAGTATTAGTAGTCTAGTAGAACTCTTTATACTTGTCTTCTATATTAGTATTGTACAGACTATTATTCGTTTCGGTTAATCAATACAATCCTCATCTGGTATCATATCTAGGTTTCTTTCCATGGCAGCTTTGGGTGGGAATAATGATGGATCTGTTCGTGATTCTTCAGAACGGACCGTCTCCGAGGTTGCCTCCACCCCCATTTATCCGTCTCCGAGCTTGTCCAGTGCTCATCACTTTGTGTCGATCAAGCTCACCGCACACAATTATCTGTTCTGGCGTACCCAGATGCTCCCGTTTCTCGAAGGTCAGGGGGTGTTGGGCTTTGTTGACGGCACAGTGGAGTGTCCGCCGGCAGCCTCGTCGTCTTCGTCGACGGCAGACAGCGGCAGCACTGCCTCGGCAGTAGCGTCGCCGGTGGTGCAGTGGCGTCGACAGGACAAGGCTGTCCTGTCTCTCTTGATCTCGTCCTTGTCTGACGAGATGCTACCGTTGGGGGTGGGCCGACCGACGTCGCGTAAGTTGTGGTTGGCGATTGAGCAAGAACTCGGCTCGGCAACGCGGTCTCGCGCGGTTTGTTTGCTCAGTGAGCTGCAGCGTTTGTCGCAGGGGGCTTCGTCCGTTTCGGACTATTTGAACCGGGCGCGGATTTTGGTGGAAGACTTGGCCCTTGCTGGGCGTCCGGTTCCTCTTGATGAGCAGAATATTTATGTCTTCCGTGGACTGCGGTCGGATCTTCGCCCGCTTGTTGCTCCGTTGACTCGTGGTGACCCGGTAACTCTCTCGGATCTTTCCGATTATTTAATTTCTCAAGAATATATCTGCGCAGGTGATGGTCCGGTTGGTGCGCCGGCTGCCTTGACCGTTCACCGTGGTGGACGGGGCGGTCGTGGCGGAGGCCGGTTCTCCCGAGGTGGCTCGGGCAGTGGGGGTTCCGGCGGCAGTGGTTCAGGCACCGGCGGTTCGGGCAATGGCGGCCGTGGTCGCGGTGGCCGGGGTCGTGGCCGTGGTCGCTCGGATGTGCGTTGTCAGATTTGTGACAAGATTGGGCACTCGGCGGCAAATTGTTGGCGCCGTTATTCTGAGTCGTCTGGTCCTCAGGCTAATGTGGCTTTTTCTGGTGGTGAGGGTGGTTCGGTTGACTCTCACCAATGGTTTCCTGATACGGGGGCCACTAATCATGCCACTCCCGATTCCTCTCAGTTGATGTCCTCGGCAGGTTATGACGGTTCGGACACTCTTCGTGTCGGCAATGGTGAAGGTATGCCTATCTTTAGTGTTGGGTCTACTTCGATAGCCTCGTCTTCTAGAGTGTTTCGATTAGATGATGTTTTGCATGTCCCTGGTTTGTCTTCCTCTTTAATTTCTGTTCAACGCTTTGCTAAAGATAATCGTGTCTTTTTTGAGTTTCATCCTGACTGTTTTCTTGTGAAGGATCTCTTGACCAGGGAGGTGGTTTTTAAGGGGGGAACTTCTGGTGGCTTATACTCCTGGCCCGCGTCTTCTGCTCGTTCTGTTGCTTATGTTGCTGCGCGTGCTTCGTCTTCTACGTGGCACAAGCGGCTTGGTCATCCTCATACTCGGGTTCTTCGTCAGATTTTGCAGTCTTCTGGTGTTAGTAGTTTTAATTCTAGTGATTTATCTCGTTTGTGTTCTTCGTGTCAGTTAGGGAAGTCATCCCGTTTTCCTTTGCCCCGTGTTGAAACTAAAACTACTCGTGTACTAGAATTGGTTTATACTGATATTTGGGGCCCTGCGCCTGTGCACTCTGTGAATGGTTTTCGTTACATTGTTTTGTTTGTGGATGACTTTACCCGTTTTATTTGGTTTTATCCGATGCGCTTAAAAACTGATATATATTCCATATTTGAACGGTTTCGGTCACTCGTTGAGCGCTCGTTCTCACAGAAAATACTTTCTATTCAGTCTGATTTAGGGGGAGAGTATAAGAAACTTCACTCTACCTTTGAGTCTCTTGGCATTCGTCACAGGCAGTCCTGTGCATACACACATGAACAGAATGGGCGGGTAGAACGCCGTAATCGGCATATAGTTGAGACTGGCTTGGCCCTGATGGCTCAGGCGTCTGTTCCATCTCGCTTCTGGGACTATGCGTTTGAGACTGCTGTATACTTGATTAATAAAATGCATACCAGTGTCTTAAATAATGAGTCTCCTCACTCTCGTTTGCACCGGTCTCCTCCGTCCTATTCCTTTTTGCGTGTCTTTGGGTGTTTGTGTTTTCCTTTATTGCGTCCCTATAACCGTAATAAATTGGAATATCGTTCTTCTCCTTGTGTGTTTTTAGGGTATCCTGACTCTTTTCGTGGCTATCGTTGTATGAATCCTGTCACTAATAAGGTCTTTATCTATCGCCATGTGCGATTCGATGAGTCCGTTTTTCCTTTTGCTGGATCTGTTGCTTCGCAGGTGGTGTCTCGGCCTCCAGTGGTGCCGTGGGGTGTTGCCCCCATCGTGCCTGTCTCCTCTTCAGTTATGGAGCCTGTCGATGATACACCGGTTCCGGATATGCCCGCGGGTCCAGCTGACTCTGTCTCCACTGAACGGACCGTTTCGGCTGTCCCTAAAGCTTCTCGGGGTCGACCTCGTGGTAGTAAGAACAAGGTGGCAGGTCCGCCCTCTCATGTTATGGCAACGAGGAGTCGGGGCCCGCAGGAGCATGTGGCTCTCGTTTCTGCCACTACAACACCCGAGCCGACATGTTACTCTCAGGCTGTGGCGCATCCGGAATGGCGTGAGGCCATGGATGCTGAGTTTAATGCTCTCCTACACAACCAGACTTGGACTCTGGTCCCGTACACTCCAGGTATGAATGTTGTGGGTTGCAAGTGGGTGTTTCGGGTGAAACGGAATGCTGATGGGTCTATTGAGCGCCATAAGGCTCGTCTGGTGGCCAAAGGTTTTAATCAGGTCGCTGGTAAGGATTTCTTTGAGACTTTCAGTCCGGTGGTCAAGCCAACCACGGTTCGCCTTCTTCTGTCACTTGCTCACTCCCGTGGTTGGTCCATTCGTCAGCTGGATGTCCACAACGCTTTTCTGAACAGTAACCTGGCGGAGACAGTGTATATGCGTCAGCCGCCTGGTTATGAGGACAAGTCTGTTCCTGATTATGTTTGCATATGGACTGAAGCAGGCTCCTCGTGCCTGGTTTACCCGATTGCATGACTTCTTGATCTCTGTTGGCTTTGTTCCGTCCAAGACTGACGTTTCGTTGTTTATATATTCTGTCAGTGGTGTGCAGCTTTACTTCCTTGTGTATGTGGATGACATTTTGGTCATGGGATCGGACTCGAGCCGTGTTGATGGGCTTGTGGCTCAGCTTGCGCGTACATTCAAGATTCGGGACATGGGACCCCCGTCTTTCTTTCTTGGCATTGAGACGATGTCACTATCTGATGGTATTCTTCTGTCTCAACGGCGTTATATACAGGATATTCTTAGACGTGCAGGCATGGTTGACTGTAAACCGGTTTCTACACCTATTTCGGTGGCTCGGTCTGATGTTGATGATTCTACTCCGTTTGCTGATCCTACTCACTACCGTAGCATTGCGGGTGCACTTCAGTACCTGACGGTGACTAGGCCGGATTTGTCTTATGCAGTTAACAGGCTTTGTCAACGCATGCAGTCGCCCACCACTGCGGACTGGGCGGTTATGAAACGTGTTCTGCGGTATGTGAAAGGCACTCTTGGTATGGGTCTCTGTATTCGCAAGTCGGAGTCTCTTGCATTGCATGCGTTCTCGGATTCGGATTGGGCAGGTAATCCGGATGACCGAAAGTCTACGAGTGGGTTTGCCGTCTTCTTGGGGTCCAATTTAATTACTTGGTCTTGTCGGGAGCAGCGGACAGTGGCGCGGTCCTCTACTGAGGCCGAATATAAGGCACTGGCTGATGTGGCGGCGGAGGTCACGTGGTTGGTTTCTTTGCTGCGCAAAATTGGCTTTCCTCCAGACGCTGCGCCGGGGCTGTGGTGTGATAATCTGGGAGCAACATACCTCTGTGCTAATCCGGTTTTTCATGCACGAACTAAGCATGTTGAAATCGATTATCACTTTGTTCGAGACAAGGTTGCCAAGAAGGAGTTGCAGGTTCATTTTATTTCCACGAAGGACCAGCTAGCTGATATTTTCACCAAGCCACTTGCATCTGCTCGGTTTTCATTGCTTCGGGACAAGCTCAATATTTCGAATGCTCCACCTTGAGCTTGAGGGGGAGTGTTAGGACTCTAGTATTAGTAGTCTAGTAGAACTCTTTATACTTGTCTTCTATATTAGTATTGTACAGACTATTATTCGTTTCGGTTAATCAATACAATCCTCATCCACGTAAAGTCATGGACTTTACGCGACCATTTTGAAATGGTCGCGCATTGTTAGTAATACGCGACCGTTCTTGACAAAGAATGGTCGCGTATTGTATTTATTTATTATTACTATTTTTTTAATTCGAAGGTAAAACACAACCATTTTGAAGCTAGAAATGGTGGTGTTTTCCTTTTTTATTATTTTAATAATTAGTCATCCGCGACCATTTTTGGCTAGGAATGGTCGCGGATGACTTTTTTTTTTTAATATTTAATTTTTTTTTGAAAGGTTTAGTATTTAATTTATTTTAATTAAAAACTCTAATTTTTTTTTTTTATAATTCCTGTACCTGTTACAGCTTAAAATCCATATCAACAGTACTCCACAATACAATTTATCTATCATCAAATTAAACACTAATACTTTTAACACAATGCAAATACTATCATCAAAACACAATAATATTTAAAATCGTCATACTTTAATACAATAATATCATCAAAACATATGAATTTTGTCTACAAGAGGTAAACCTGCCAAAAAATATATTTTCTTGAGCATTGGAAAAGAACTAATAGCAGAAACGAGCTCGCGTAAGGAAATGTTCAGTGCTCCTCATACATGTTCCAAAGGCTTTGCTGGTAGTCTGGTTCCTGACAAGTAAGGAAATGTTCAGTGCTCCTCGATATATAGTTGTCCAATGGAACCAATATCTCTGCAAAATAAAATGAAGTGTTTAATACATGTTAAATGCATGCATGAGGTGAAGTCCTCTGGGACATATTAGTAAAGTTACCACAAACCATCAAATATAAAATAGGAGAAAAAATACAATTAATCAAAATAATAATTAGAGCAGAGCTCTTAACAAACTTACTTGGGAAATAATCAATAGTCCAGTCTGCAAGGGCCTCCATCATTAATGGCCAGAGACTCCACATGTTCATTGATATTTTTGGCGAGTAAAATGTCATATAAGAAACAATCTCCAGAACCTCTTCATAGACATCTACAGAAGTATAGATTGACTAAAATCAGGACTTTAATTCAAATCAAAGAGGGAGGAAATGCTCAAACATTTTGACAGAGAAAAAAGAGAGAGGAAATGCTCAAGGAAGCAAATTGTACCTTGTCCGTCAGGCGTAAGCATCCTACGCATGATAAGGAAAAGTGTTGGCTCAATCTGTTCAAAAAGATGTGGAAGCCGACTCACTGACTCAATGATTGTGCTTATGGCACGCAAACAACCAACTGCAGCTAAGGCACCAGGGTCATCAGCTTCATCATCAGCTTCCGCGGTGTTTATACATTTCCAAAATGCAGCAGCCTATAACAACAACTATATTATGAAATTGTGGTTATATAGTTATGAATTTATGGATATTTAGTTCATTCGTTGTGGATATTTAGTTCAATCATATATTGTAGATATTTAGTTCATTCATTGTGGATTTTTACTTCATTCATTCATTCATTGTGGATTTTTACTTCATTCATTCACTGTGGATATATAGTTATGAAATTGTGGATATATAGTTATGAAATTGTGGTTATATAGTTATGAATTTATGGATATTTAGTTCATTCATTGTGGATATTTAGTTCAATCATATATTGTGGATATTTAGTTCATTCATTGTGGATTTTTACTTCATTCATTCATTCATTGTGGATTTTTACTTCATTCATTCATTCATTGTGGATTTTTACTTCATTCATTCACTGTGGATATATAGTTATGAAATTGTGGATATATAGTTATGAAATTGTGGTTATATAGTTATGAATTTCTGGATATATAAAAATGCTATTGCCGGGAATCGAACCTGATTTCTTCTTTAAGTGGGACGCGCGTTTTTTTAACCAAAACGGCGCCGTTTTGCAACCGTATGCACCTTGCAAGGTGCATTCGGTTGCACAGCATAATTTGCGCTAAAAGTCTAAATATACTACTAGGGATAATAATTAATATATAAATTATGATATTAAATACCCAAATCCTGAGCCCAAATATATACATAGGATATATACTTATGTCATATATACCCAATAAGTATTAAGTAGCCCAAGCCCAAACGTATTTAATCTTAACCCACCTAACACAAGTCCTTGTAGGAAACCTAATCATCATCATAATAATAATAATAATAATAATAATAATAATATTATTATTATTATATTGGTTAGGATACATGTATGTCTGCGTATACCTATACATCCTTTATATAATAAAGCTATATGGTTTGAAAAATAATTAATGTTACTGATGGGGCGAGGACCCCGGCCCAAGAGATAGGGGCCCAAAGAAAATAGATAGGAGAACTGGGCCAGCGTCGACAGGGCCCAGTTCAGAGCTGCTAAGAGCAGTCTAGTAGGAGCTTAGGCCGAGACAAGGAGTCGACCGAGGCCCAAGCCCAGGAAAGGACTCGGCTCAAGGAGCCGTTGAGAGCATTGAAGAGATTCGTTTAAAAGGGAGCCGTTAAGACATTGAAAGCAGGACTTGGTCGGGCCGTTACAAGCCTGGGAGAGCCGTTGGTCGACCGAGTAATGGCGTCCAACGGCTCCATATCTTAATTAGCCTTGAAGTCGGCCATTCAAGGCCTTCAAGTCGGTAGAGGAGGAGCCACTATATAAAGGCTCCTCCATTATTGTAAAAGGACAGACAATTTGAACACCCAAAGGGGGAGAATACCAAAAAGTTCCGAGTACTAGCATAATCTCCGAAATAGACATACATTTCATTGAAAGGTGTATCCTCCAGCTAAAGGTTGTGTTGGACCTCCTTGGCCCCGAAAACCCAAAAACTATCACTGGCGCCGTCTGTGGGGATCGAAACTAAGAGTCACGTGTCCTCTTGAGTGAGGCGAGTCCGAGGAACGACGATTAGAATCCCAGTCGAATTAGAAAAGCTCCAGACATGGCAGGAAGTGAAGAACAGTCGAGCCGTCATGACAATGGACGAGAAGCAGACCTGAGAAGCCAGCTGAACCAGAGAAACGCCCGGAGCCGGGAAAACGAGACAACACCGCCGCCGACACCACCGATAAACCAACAATTGCCCCAAGTGCTGCTCACCCCAGAGCAGCTGCGTGCAATCGGACGCGCCTGCGCCGAAGCAAGCCTAGGAGTGAGAGAACAGTCCATCACTCGCCAGCCGCAACGCGAGTTACAGCCGCTTCATAGGCCCGACAACCGGCAACAGAGCCGACGGGCCGAAAGCCAACCGGTACAGTCCGTTCATTCTCGGCTGGGTCCCAGCGTTGGGCGTCGGTCGGCAAGAGAACGATTGGGTCGGATGGAACCCAGTCATGCCCCGTTAGCCGCTCGCCATCGACAAGCTGCACGAGAGAAGAACCGTACCAAAAGAGCCAGGACTGAGACTCGTCGCGTGGAGCAACCTCGACGCAACCCCGACCAACCGGCTGAGTCTGAAATCGGTGAGAGCACGGAATCCACAGGAAATCGCACCCGGGAGAGGGTCGAAGTGGCGAACTTAGTGCAAGAAGTGCGAAATCTGAAAGAACAGATGGAGGGGAAAACCAAATCCCCAGGACGTACGTTACTGACCGCCTTACCCTTCTCAGACGAGGTTATGGCTTTTAAGATACCGGGTGACTTCAAGTTCCCGGAACAGGCCACGTTCGATGGAACCGGCGATCCCCGAGAGCATTTGCTGAGCTATCAGGCTAAGATGCAGGTTTTGGGAGTACGAGATCTGGTCATGTGTCGCGCTTTCTTACCCACGTTGAAAGGGTCAGCACAAATGTGGCTAGTGGCGCAGCCCTCGGGGTCGATTCACAACTTTGAAGAGCTGGCAGACCGCTTCATGAGCCATTACGCCGCTAATATCAAGCCACAAAAGGACCTAACACACTTGGGTGACATTCGTCAAGATGAAAGCGAGTCCTTCAAAACCTATCTGGCCCGCTGGCAGAAAGAAATCCAGTCCATAGAGGAGGTCGAGGACCAGACGGCGCTCACCTTCTTCATCGAGTCGCTGCGGTCCGGCCAGCTGTACCGAGACCTGAGGGACAATCGTCCGGCCACCTACGCAGAAGCCATTCATATGGCCAACAAGAGGGCCAACACAGAGCAGGCTACGAAGTACAAGCGACAGCGCGAAGTTGCCGGATCCGCCAGCGGGAAGAGAACGCGAGCGGAAACCAAAGAAAGGCGCCCGGACGTGACTCGGCGACCCGAGGTCAGACGGCCATACGACAGACCCGTCATCCACGCTTATCGGCCGATTCCCGAACGTCCGGTCCATGAGATACAAACGGTTGCCCCGCCTCTGCCTCCGCCGACCGACGATCGCCCGACGAACGAAGAAATGGGTAAGACCTCTAAGTATTGTCGTTATCATAAATCTTATACTCACAGCACGGGGGAATGCTTCTACCTGAAGAAGATCATGGAGGGTATCATTCAGCAAGGGACCCCGCCTCCTAATCAGTGGAGGCGAAGATCGGTCAATCGAGGGGATGAGGATCCCGCCGCCGTTGCCGAAAATAGTCGAGGCAAGCAGCCGACTCCCGAGGAGGAGGAGGCTCAGTGGCGTCAGAAGCCGGTTATCAACATGATAGTCGGCGGGCCGGAAGGTGGTGACTCAACGAACACCCGAAAAACCTGGGCCCGCCAGTTATACGTCGGAACGGTGTACGGGCGCGAGGAGAACCCTAAAAAGGTGTGCCGAGAGCCCATTGTGTTTACCGACCGAGATTTACCAGCCGGTGAAACACCGCATCGATATGCGCTGGTTATAGCTATGGATATCAATGGCGTTGTCGTTCGATGAATCCTGGTGGACACCGGAAGCAGCGTCAATGTGCTGTATCTAGAAACCTTCATCAAAATGGGAATGACTCGGGAACAGCTGAGTCCTGTCAAAACTCCCCTCGCCGGTTTCACAGGGGACTCGGTGGAGGCGGAAGGATCGATCACACTTCCAGTTGAGATCGGCAGTTACCCAGACGTACAGAGACTCAGCATGAAGTTCATTGTGGTGAATCTGGCCTGTTCACATAACGCTATAATCGGTCGACCGGGTCTCGAGGATCTGGGAGCGTTGATTTCAATTGAGCATCTTTGTTTAAAATTCCGCACGCCAAATGGAATAGGCACGGTGCGTTGTGACCGTAAGGTCGCTCGCGACTGCTACCTACAGGCATGTAAGGGGATGGGCAAACGCGAGATACAGGTCCATGAGATCACCGAGAGGCCCCCAAAAAGGACAATAATACCACGTCCGGAGCCTGCCGTCGAGATCGACTCCACGCAGCCGGACCGACGAGTCCGAATTGGAGTCGGCCTCCCTGAGGAAGTAAAGGAAGAAATTATAAAGGTGCTCCGGGAACACCGGATGGTCTTCGCCTGGTGCCCGGAGGACATGCCAGGCGTCGACCGATCGATCATATCGCACAGACTCGCTGTGGATCCCGGGCATCGACCGGTTGTGCAGAAGAAGCGATACCTGGCCAACGACCGAAGAGAATTTGTGAAGAAGGAAGTGAGCACGCTACTCGCAACCGGACACGTCCGCGAAGTTAAGTACCCAGAGTGGTTGGCGAATGTGGTCCTTGTACCCAAGCCCCTGGCGTGGCGGATGTGCGTGGACTATACCGACCTTAATATGGCCTGCCCAAATGATCCGTTTCCCTTACCGCGGATCGATCAACTGGTCGACGAGACGGCGAGGTCGGCGTTGTTGAGCTTTATGGACGCCTTTAGGGGGTACCATAAGATATTCATGCATTCGGCGGACGAAGAAAAGACCGCGTTTTTGACACTGGACGGAGTTTATTGTTACCGAGTCATGCCCTTCGGGCTCAAGAACGCCGGAGCCACGTATACCCGAATGGTGGCCCGATTGTTTCAGCACCTGCTGGGAAAATCGATGGCCGCGTACGTCGACGACATGCTCGTCAAGAGCCGAGAGGAGAGCAAACACGCAGAGGACTTGGCCGACTGCTTCAAAGTAATGTAAAGGTACAACCTCCGGCTGAACCCTAAGAAATGCGCGTTCGCCGTGCATGGTGGAAAGTTCCTGGGTTACATGGTCACCAAGCGAGGTATCGAGCCTAACCCTGAGAAAGTACAGGCCATCGTCGACATGCAGCCTCCCAGTACTATAAAGGACCTGCAACGGCTGACCGGCCGATTGGCCGCCCTTAGCCGCTTCCTAAGCAAGGCGGCAGATAAGACCGTGCCCTTCTTCGAAGCCATGAAGAAGAAGGAAGGATTCGCTTGGACCCCGGAGTGCCAGCAGTCGTTTGAAGAATTGAAACAATACCTCTCGACACCCCCGGTATTGTCTACCCCCCAGGCGGGCGAGCCCTTGTTTCTGTACTTAGCCGCCTCTTGCAAGGCGGTGAGTTCGGTGTTGGTCCGAGAGGAAGAGCGAGTCCAGCACTCGGTTTACTACGTAAGCCGGTCTCTGAAGGCTGCTGAGTCAAGGTATACCGCCTTGGAAAAAATTGTATACGCGTTGGTGATTACCGTGCACAAGTTGGCGCCCTACTTCCAAGCCCACACCGTCCGAGTACTGACAGACCAACCTCTCGGAAGTGTTTTAAGAAACCCATCGTCGTCCGGCCGCCTGGTAAAATGGGCCGTAGAACTAACCCAATACGGGATTGAATACCAGCCCCGGCCTTCCATAAAGGGTCAGGCCTTGGCCGATTTCTTGGTCGAATGCACCGCAAGTGAGGAGGAAAAGGAACGCGCCGTGGAGAGCTGCCTAGGCGAATGGTGGGAAATGCATGCGGACGGAGCATCAAGTCGACAGCACTGCGGAGGAGGTGTTGTGCTCATCACCCCCGAAGGATTCCGACTGTATTATGCCCTGAGCTATCTGTTCCAAGCCTCCAACAACGAGGCCGAGTACGAAGCTGTGTTAAACGGCCTCCGACTCGCCAGGGCCTTAGGGGTCGAGAGGTTACGAGTCAAGACTGACTTTAAGTTAGTAGTCGGGCAGATCTCAGGCACATGCGAGGCAAAGAATGCCCGGATGACTCTATATAGAGAACGCGCGATTGAGATGCTAAAAGAGTTCGGAGCCTACGAAATAGAGTATATATCTCGAACGGATAACATAGAAGCTGACATATTGTCCAAGATAGCCTTGGAAGGAGTACCGGACCACCTGGTAAAAATCTGTCAGAAAGAGGAGCTAAGCCGACCAAGCATCGAAGAAGCACCGCTAAGGGTCCAGCAAGTGACTGGCGAGGAATGGGACCGAGAGAAAAATCCCGAGATGTTCTGGATAGAGGACATCCGACGATTCATAGAAAAAGGCGAGTTACCGGAAGACCCGGGAGTCGCCGCAAGGGTTCGACGAAAGGCCCCCTCTTTCCAGATCGTTGATGGGCAGTTATATAAACGGTCGTTCGGAGGACCTTTGCTAAGATGTTTGCTCAGGCCCGAGGCCGAGAAAATAATGGACGAAGCCCATAGGGGCATTTGTGTCGCGCACCAGGGTGCCCACACACTCGCTCGGAAGTTAGTCGTCCAAGGATATTATTGGCCCACCATGATGCGAGACTGTATTGAATGGATATCCAAGTGCGGCGTTTGCCAGGCATTCGCCAAGAAAGATACTCGGCCAGCTACTTTTTACACGCCGGTCACCACCGCTATCCCATTTGCCAAGTGGGGGATTGATTTGCTGGGCCCATTGCTAGTCGCCCCCGGAGGTTTGAAGTTCTGTGTCGTAGCTATCGACTACTTCACCAAGTGGGTCGAGGCGGAACCACTGGCCACCATCACCGAGTACCAATGCTGACGCTTTTTATGGAAAAAGGTAATTTGCCGCTTCGGCCTGCCCGAGCACATCGTTAGCGACAACGGACGACAGTTCGATTGCCAGGCATTCACCAACTTCTGCCGCCGACATGAAATTCGCCACACTAAGGTGTCGGTAGCATACCCACAAGCCAATGGACAAGTCGAGAATGTGAATCGAACGCTAGTGGATGGAATTCGGAAGAAATTGGAAGACATTCGAGGGAATTGGGCGGATGAGCTTGACCGAGTCCTATGGGCTTATCGCACCACCCAACGACGAGCAACGGGAGAGAGTCCGTTCTCCCTCGCGTATGGCTTTGAGGCCAAGGTTCCAATTGAGGTGGTCGAGCCCACTCACCGAGTCCGTACCTATTCAGACACGGAGAACGAAGAGAGTCTTCGAATTGAGAAAAATTTCTTATAAGAAAAGAGGGAAGCCGCGAGTGCGCGAATGGCTGAATACCAACAGGCGGTGAAAAGATATCGCGATCGGCGGATTCGTCCGCGAGCCTTCCAGGTCGGCGACCTCGTGCTACGGGATCGACAGGCCAGTCAACCCACAGAAGGGGGTAAGCTTGCGATCAAGTGGGAGGGACCATACCGCATCGCCGCGGTTGTCCAAGCGGGGACCTACAAACTGGAAACCATGGAGGGCAAGCCCGTGGATCGAATTTGGAACGTTATCCACCAGAAGAAGTTTTATCAATAGAAAGGGACAAAACATGTATGGGCCTGCGGGTCCTGAAAGACTTGAATAAAAGTACGAGTTATGGTTAACCACTCCAGGGACCCGGCGAGAAAGAGTTAGGAAACAAGGGCCCAGACCCTTAGTCGTTTCCGTGAAAAAGCCAAGAGGAGTCGCCTCGACTGAGGGACTCGGCGAGTATATAAAGAAACAACGGGGCACTGTCCCTAAACATTTCTGAGAAAGTAAAAGCCTAAGGAGTCGCCTCGACTGAGGGACTCGGCGAGAAAGAGTTAGGAAACAAGGGCCCACACCCTTAGTCGTTTCCGTGAAAAAGCCAAGAGGAGTCGCCTCGACTGAGGGACTCG